TACGACATCTATGAATACATTACTTAATTAAATATGAAATGGAGCTTTGAGATTCACCACGTGCATGTTTTTGTAAACATACTATCTGACCCCATCCAGTCGAATACTACTTCTTAGAACCATATATTGTGTAAATATTTTGATTCTGCTACCGTTTTTCTATTGGTTATTTAGAAACCAGTATGGCGATTAAATTCTATTTAAGACAAATGCCTGTTGGGATACGAATCAGTGGACAGATAAGGCGTTGGCACTGGTTTCGTTCAATTCAACTACTGCAATTGAGGGCAAACAGAAAAGTACCTTGACTAGAAACAATCGTAATGTAAGTATTATTGTTTGTGGCATACAATGCAAAGACATAAGTATCAAATTAATGAATATAATTCCAAATGCTATTCACAACGTATTAATCTTTGTCAGTCTTGTAATGGTGTTAATTTTAAAAAGTGATCGGACACACTGAAAAAAAAAATCTGGAACAATATAAAGATAATTAAGAAATGTATTTACAAATTGTATATTTGACTCTCGAAACATATGTTACAAAAACATGATTGATAATTTTCAAAATCAGAAGGGTTTAATTTTTTCTTTTACCTAGTTCAAAAGATATTGGCGTTTGGATTTTGGAAAATCCCAATTGGCTGCCATTATAAACCACTATCAATATGGCTTTACTTAAAGGCAGAATCAGATCTATAGGGGGGGGACAAAATTACAAGCATCTTGTATAATTGACCTACCAATCTATTCCTTACAATATCTAAAACAATATCTCCCAAAAGATTCACAATATGTTATAAATTGATGAAGTTATTAATGATTCAAGGTGCAAAAATGGGTGAAAAATGTTTAAATTCTCCCAAATAATAAGAATGGTAACCATTCTTATAGAAAAATAATACATTATTGTAAAAATCTTTAGTTTTCCTTGAATAAAGTATGCACTTTTGTGATTTTTAGAAAATAGACATGACAAGGAATGACATGAGCCAAAAATATTTTAAAATTGAAACAATTTTTTGTTTAGCCTGCTCGCTATATCTGATTCTCTCTTTAAGTATCCTTTTCTCAAAAAAGTCCACTATTGAATTTACAAGGGACATTAAGTAGAGTAGTTATTTAAGGTATAAATAAGAATATGATGTGCCATTTCAATTGTAATTTTAAACATATTACCAGAAGTGCTTCGACTGAAAATTTAGTTTCTTGATAGTTGCCCCGGGTGTTCATGCTTTCTGTTGCTATGGCAACCATAACTTCAACCAATCACAACACTTTGATCTGTAACTTAATTTATCAATTTAATAATGTTTGAACATTATTCTGTGCAATTTTTATGAGGATTGGGTAAAATCTGAAGAAATACCAGATACTTTTACCTTATTTATTGATCACCCTGTATACAATAACGTCACATTAACATTAATTGGGAATCTTTAATCCTGAGCATAATCACTTCTGCAAACGATACTATATTTATATATTCAGCACCCTAGGTCCATGTCCAGTAGATACAATATTCACTACAAAGTAATTTGGATCTTCTCTAATGTATTTTTATTGTTGGTTAGATACCCATTTTTGGAAAACATTTGTTTGGCCAGTCTTATCTTATTTCAACCTGGCCGGCTGCCCTTACAATTTTCTCATTGGAATGGAGACCAACAACATAGGACTGTAGTTCATGTTCATTTGGTGAATAATGAGCAAGGTCCACATTTTTAAATCCTAAACTACTCTGCATTCTGTCCATTCTCTATAGACTACTTTGCAATATGGCATGCATTTTCCTGCGTTGGGTATCCTACCTCCACAAAACCTATTCTCCGATGAGGTTTTTAACGTTGGCAGACTTTACAACTCATGGAGATCACAGACTATTATGATGTCTTTTTACCAGTACCATTATGATGTCATACTATGGATGAACCATACTATGAATGTAACCACTATTTTGAATAACCATCTAGCATAAGTTTAACGAAGAATACATAGCTTAAAATCATGTAAAGCCCCGTCATATTGTACATCGTTTCATCAAAATTGAGTAACACTGATGTCTGTGTCAACGCATTTCATGCTAAAATGTTAAAAAATTCTCAGACGAAATATACATATTCTATTCTATCATTCTACATATAGTTAAAAATCACTCGCAGACAACGTATCAAAGTAATGAGCAAACTCTAAGACTAATATCTGGTGAAAATGAACAATTGGCACTTGATCAGTACATATTAATTGCGAAAAATGTTCATAAAATGTATACATGTGAAGACAGAATGTAATTGCGTATCTCAAATAGTCAAAATAACTCCGAGCATTGGGCCTGTTGCGGTTACGGGTAGCCTGGCGTCCTGCCGTATAATAGGGGTTGCTCTGGATGTGATGTTGACACTGATTATGTTACTTATATGTAGATAATGAACATAACTTTTCACTCCTTTATTTTCTTTAATAAGAAATTGTACTCTTCAGAATTGAGGGAAAAAAGATACAAACAAACAGAGAAACAAACAAAGAAACAAACAAACAAAACAAACTGTTTCATTTTTTTAAATCAATGTAATAACTATAGAAATCTACAATATTAGGAAATTTTATAGTGCCTTTTTTCAGAAAAGAACACTAAAATAAACCATATTGATAGCGGTTTATAATGGCAGCCAATGGGGATTTTCCAAAATTCATACGCCAATATCTTTGAAATTAGGTGAAAGAAAAAATTCAACCTTTCCTATTTTTAAGATAATCTTGTTATTGTAACATCTTAGGAATATGGGATTTTGAACTGTTCTGCAGGGGGTCTTCTGAAGATTGATAAATTAACATGGGGCTCAATATAGTTTTTTATAGTTTTTTTTATAGTTTTTAACGGCTAGATATACCAAAAATAAGAGATTTTCAGAAATGTGTCTGTTTAATTTTTTAAACTAATATATTAACTATCAAAATCTACAATATTAGAAAATTCCATTGTGGACTTTTTGAGAAAATGACACTTTAGTAAACCCATATAGGTAGCGGTTTATCATGGCAGCCAATGGAGATTTTCCAAAATTCAAACGCCAGTATCTTTTGAACTACACGTAGGTAAAAGAAAGAATTAAACCCTTCTTATTTTGAATATAATCATGTTCTTATAAAATTCAAGGAATATGGGCATTATTACTTTAGAACTGTTCTGCAGTGGGACTTTTGAAGATTGATAAATTAACATGGAGCCAAATGTAAATGTGCCAAGTTTTCGAGGCCTGCTGTTATCAACTGGGGCCACTTTTCAACACTACTTCGTTAGAAATAAAAAATATATGCTTAAATATACTTTGTCAAAAATGGTACCGTATATATAGCAAGTGCAATTCAAGGGTTTTATTGTCATAACTGACTCCACTAATATTGTAAAGCTTGTTGAAGTGTGCAGATATAGATCTTAAATGTTCCAGATGAAGAAGGAAATCACAATATGCTTGATGTTGGCGTTGGCTGTGGTACAATGTGCCAAGCTTCCTGAAAGCGATGCCAATGCTGATACAGTAAACGTTGTAAAGCGAGATATTTTAGGACATATTGGTAAGAAAAAATAAATTCTAAGCAAATACATCGGTACCAACCAGACCAATTGTATTTTTTCGCGTTATTATAGCTGATGTGAGGGCCTATACATGTACATCCAAGTTAAGGTTGTGAAGCGAGCGAATTTTGGGCCTATTGATAAAGCATAATTGAATTTGAAACACTGCAACATGGTAACTAAAACAAAACAACGATGAAATTAGTATTCCAAATCATTATTTCCGTTTGATCAGTGTTTGCTTAATTGTTAGAAAGGCTCATGCACGCCGACCCTTTGCATTCGTCTACACTAGACCCTGCACGCAGGATTATTCACGCCAAACGCATTAATTTTTAGAACGTTTTAATATTATTTTCACTTATCAATTTGGATTTCGGAAACTCTATTCTACCAAATGGCCATTTTATATTTCATTGAACAAATAGGAAAATAAACTGATTACGGGGAAACAAACATTTGGTATTACGAATTTTCCAAGGCCTTTGACTAAATTATCATGACATTTTAATAAAAATTAAATATTAATTATGGCATCAGAGGAATAGCTAAGTCCTGGTTTGAACACTTTTTAAAAGGCGGCAAAAAGATGTCACCATTACCAAAATGAATCTAGACAATCATCTCTAAACTGTGTAAATTGTGGTGTTCCACAGGTCTTCGCACTTGGACTGCTACCATTTATTCTTTACATAAATGGTCTGTCTATTGTTGCCCCTCATCTAAAATTTATTATGTTTGCTGACGACATCAACCTACTCGACAGCAATTATAATATAAATTTGCAAACAAATACATGAAGTGTTATGTCAACTAGTATATTTTTGCCTAACCTCCAGTGCCCAGGAAACCAGAATGATCCAACTACGAGAAGTACATAATTGTTATTTTCGATCTTATAATGTATTGTCAAAATATTTACCTAAAACTCTAAATAATTGGATGTTTTCAAACGTTCCTATTTTGACCTCAGAGGTCATTTCATAAATTCTAAACCACTTAGAAGTCAGTATGGAATCCAGAATTCAAGTTGATTTTGCCAATTAACATTGAAAACACTTTTCAAGGTCATATTTTTAGATGACTTTCTCAGATAATTGGATTTCTTTGCTGTTATCTTACTACTGGAACTGTATACTGTTCGGAATCTAGACATTTTTAGTTTAGCTAAAATCGAAGGTTTATATATTATATAGGTATAAAACAAATTTTGTCCACCGTTTTGGATGAGACTAATTCAGGTTAGTTTCTACCTGCTGTGGACCAGTGCTCTTGCTGTAGGAGAATCGAATGGCTGTTACTTAAATTGTCTCATAATTAAAGAGTGCCAACTCAAGACAGCTAAACCCCCTTTCTTAGGTATGGTGACCACAATTATGATTGGCTGATCATGATCAAGAGTAGGAAAACTTGATAACTGTGTCGTTGGGAGTAGAATAATGAGTCAATAAACATTTATTGAAATAGTAATATTATGATGAATGATAACGTTTCAGAATAGGAATATTTGGTGAATAGAAAGAAAATCAAACCTTTGCTAGTTTATTCGCACACTTTGTTATCGGTCGAGATAGTAAAAACTTGAAATGATTAAAATAATATGTCCAATTAGACAAAGGTTGCCAGAAAGGTTACACACTTATGTCTCTATACGTTTGTAAACCAATAAATCTCACAAAAGCACAAATAAGATAACACAAGTTTTAACTATTTAAATAACCTGTCGATAATGGCTCTGAAGCTAATTTACTGGCATTGGCACTGGCAGAGATCTACTTCGTAAACGTTTTAAAATGTGATCCAAATTAAGTCCAACCTCTCATACATTTTCACAACGGTCACTAATTTATCTTTTAACATTGTTCAAACTATTTAAAATGTGACTTTGTTAACCTTTTGTTTATCTTTACCAACTGTACAGAGTGGGCCAATAAAAATTGGAACATTTTTCTATTCATTCAATTTTCTTCAAGATTCAGGTAATAGTAAAATAATTATTTGTGAACATGTTAAAGATAAGAATGTGTATGTACAATTATGTTTGAGTTGTCATGGTCATGATCTGTGTACAATGAAAAATATCCTCTCTGCTTGAGGCATCACTGCTGAATATCTTTCATACCATACAATATGTACCCTTCGAATGGTCTCAATACAATTAAAACAAATGCACAGGGTGGTCCAAAAAGTGAACCCCTGCAACGGGCCATATTTCCCTTATTACTAGCAGGAATTCTGTCATACTTTCACATATTGTAGAGGAAGGTCTAAAATTTATGTTGGTACCACACATTTGTCTTAGTCTTGAAATTTGCAGAAATTATAAGCCCTAACCAAACATTACTGAGAAGGGATAAAATGTGATTTTCAATATCCGCGATTCTTCAACCCTTCAACACCCTTCCCCTGACATTTTTTAAGCTGCAGTCTTGAAGAACTAATATTTTCTGACTTTGTTCAATTTTGAATCCTGCACATTATGGCTTCAAACTAGCATCCTACCTTTGTTAGTTGCAAAGTTATTGTGATCCAAAGAAATGTTCTAAGGTTCCATAGACGAAAACATTTTCAAGTGAAATCGCGATTATACCCCTATATGATCTTGGAATGTCAATATCTTCATAAATCATGGACCAATTCTAATGAAATATGGCTCAAAACATTGAATATCGGATTTTCTTTTGATTTATTAAAGCTAATCGATGAAGGGTTTCTCATATACCTGGTCACAGGGGGCAACTTCCTTCCACAACAGGCCCTCCTCTAACTGGTTATGTGTAAGTAACATACCCCTGAGCTGTTGAATGGTTAAAACTGCTTCAAAATGATCAATGAACGTGTGAAATGTGTTTTCTGCTTAAATAGTGTTAATCACATTGTTAAAATTTTGCACAATATCTTATTTTCAGGCATGTATGTTAAACTCTTGTAATTTCTTCAAAACTTAAGACTGAGAATAAATTATGGCATCAACCAAAATTTTAGACCTTTCTCTAAAACATGTGATAATATGAGCCTATTCATGCAAGTATTAAGGAAAATATAGCCTGTTGCAGGGGTTCACTTTTTTGGACCACCCTGTAGTTATGTCTAGGAGAATCTAGACATGTCTCCCTTGGATAATATATAGCGTAACTGACTTCAGCCGTTTTAAAAACTGGCACAATGTCTCAAAACCTATAATTTAAGCCATGTTGAAGACTGTCAAATAAAGCTCTGACTGATTATTCAAGTGGGTAAAGGACATCTTCAGGAAACCCTTGCGTTGAGTAATTAAATGTTAAGCTTGTCCATTCATATTTACACTGTTGACAATGAATTGTTTTTCAATTTCCTTAAGATAGATGGTGATACATGATTAACAAAATAGTTACAATAGATGGGAAAAGGTTCCATTTTTGGCCCTTTTGGTACATTGTAACTTTCACGAAATATTACGTCTCGCTCTTCAAACAAGAAATTCTATATTCGATTTCTATATGAATGCTGTATTATATTATTCAACAAGTGAAACGGAGGAACCAAAGAACACTTCCGAGATAAGAGTGAGATACTTCGGGAACTTATAGGGAAACAAATAAAGCCTTTTCGAAAAGGGGTTGCTTAAATAAATGATATGCAAAATGTGAACGGCTTTTTGGAAATAAATGATTTTAAACAGAGGTGAGTATCAATTTTGACTTCCATGCCAAAGAGATGGAAAACTATTTTAAAAAGTAATCCTTAAGCGAAGTTTGAAACGAATATACTAAAAACATAGAACAGCTATTTATTGGGAACAAAATTGCCAACATAAAAAACTTGACAGCAAAAAAAATTCAATTGTACATTAATCGCCAGAGTTATATTGAATCCATAGTGTTTAAGTGCTTATGGTGCAAAGGATTGGTCATCGATATGCGAACTGAACTCAACATTGTTTTTCTGTTAACCCAATTATTGAAAACATTCTGTAAAAAGGGCCCTGTCCTTTATGTAATGGTCACTAATTCAAATACATGTATATTTTTTATAACAGTATTTTATTCACATTTTTTGCAATTGTTTTTTGTTCCTTTCTACTGATTCTTAAGAATGAAATAAAATATCTTTCCGAACCTTGTTGGAACAAAATAACATATGCAACATTTGCCTATACCTCACAATATTATAGTTATATAAAGAAAAATTTGGTTGATTTAACAAAAAGTATTCGAAAAATTAACCCCAAATAGATAAAAATTAAAGTAAAGTTTATTTCATTAACAAGATACTTTTTTAAATAAAACAAACTTTCCTTTGTACTACAATATTGCGAGACACGCAACTACACGTTGTGTATATGAAATTTTGTTCCAATGAGGTTCGGATAGATGTTTCGTTTAATTTCGAACAAATGATACCAAGAACAAAAGTGTCTGATGTGTTTTCTAAAACGATATAGAGAAAAGTATATGTATTTTTTCAAATTATATTGTTACCATTCAAAAGATGATCATTAAATTGACCAATCCTTCATCAAATTAAGAGTCTTAAAATACTTTGGAAATCTTTTGGAAAATAAATTATTACAGGTAAATGAGCAACACTATTGAAGGTTAATTCACATTTTTGTATCTTACGAATGTACGAGTCAATTTGACCTAGGCCTAATGTATGACGTAGTAACAGCGCTTGACCAATCAGAAAGTTAGCGGGCGCGGGCTTTTCAAAAGTTATATTGGCCCGCTGTCTTGTGAACAGTTTACAATATACATCATCGTAGTTAGTTATAAATTAAACAAAGTATTTACATTTGTCATATAGAAAAATAATGTTTACATGTGTACATTTTGCGTATTTATTTTCTCATTTTAAACTTTCAAAATGCACGTAAATGTTATAAAGGGATTTGGCACATTCTATTGTGAACGTGTCAAATGTGTAGTCATCATCAACTAAAATCAATTCTACTTCTTAAAATTGTTTGTAGAAGAATGTGTTATTCGAGGCTTAAGAGTTTGATCTGATTTTTAATTAAGGTGACTGTTGGAATCAGTGGAGTCGGTGTACAAAATGGAGTGGTGGTTTCACTGGAATTCTCTGGCTGAGCTGCAATGATAAGTAGGTCTTTCAATAAGACGGAGTTTAAGATTAGTGTAAATAGCCCATTTACATGTACGCATACCTACAGGGTGATCCAGAAATAACGTCAAAGCTGTTGCCATTTCAATATTACTTGACTTACCATCTTGAAACTTGGTAGAGATGTTCCCCAATCCCGAGATAATATCAAAAAAATAAAGTTTCTACTATTTGATTGGTTCATTTCATACTTACTAAATCTCATTCGATTTCGATGAAAATTAAATGGTTAAACACAACCATCGATGCGATAAACGATGCCATGTGATGATGCATAAAATTGTTGAATTTACACATTCTTCATAAATGCTTATTAGTCCATTTGTCAACCTATGCATCCTATAGTGAACCTACAGGTATGTATTGTAAAAAACACGATGTTTTTGGTTAATCTTTGATGATAAGGGTTTCCTGAAGAGATTTAGCTGGGTTGGACAAAAAGTCAGTTTGGAGAAAAAATAATATAGGCTAACTAGCGAGGGCTATATTGAAATTTTGATTGTTTTCGATGTCTTGAAAAGTTAGAATGATAGCAGCATAATTATTTTGTCTAAGCTAATGTTTTCAGGGTTAATGAATAAGATACCGTTAAAATATACAATAATAGCTTATTAGATATTGTGCATAATTGTAACTTAGCATATTTTATGATTGAAATAAAACATTTATTCAAAAATTTCTGTATCAAGCTTGCAAAACAATGGAAATTACTGACTAATTAACTAATTAATTGGGTTGCCAAAAATAACTAATTTGGGGGGAAATTATATACTCTGTAGGTATGCAAATTAGGGCGGCCATCATTGAAATATTTGTCTATTTCTTACATAATTTAAAAAGTACTAATGATAACATCACAATTGATGTGCCCTTCCCCATGTTTTCAGTATTAATGAATAAGATAATGTATAAAGATACAAGAATAACTCATTATATATCAATGTATATATGCAAATTAGCATATTTTATAATTGAAATATCTCATTCATTATTATTTATCAGTGCAATTTTAAACTATTGACTAATTGAAGGTTTCCTTAGTGATTTAATGTGGTTGCCGAAAATAACTTTAGGGGAAAATGATAAATGCAAATTTTGTTGACCATTATTGAAATATTGAATATCTTCCATATCTTAAAAAGTAAGAATAATAGCACCACAATTGTTGTGCCACAACCCATGTTTTCAGGGTCAATAAATATTCGGTTTTTTAGGTTTAAAGTTTTTTTATTATCATTTAAACAAAACAAATTACAAACACAGCAAGGGCCGAAGCAATGCATTATTGGCCCTGGTAGTCAAGAATTTATATAATGTAAAGTGAAGTTGCAATGAGATTTAAGGATCAACTCGGTAATGCAGAACAGTATATAAAAATAAAAACTTACTCATTTAAAATAGTAACAATTAACTGCAGAAAACCTGCAGTCATTTCAACAATTTTCTGATTTGTCAGATACGATAATGAGCAATCACCGTATAACAAATAATTTACCCTGTCTTGCTGTCTGAGTTGACCAAACACGGTTAAATCAAAGGATGGCAGTTCCCCAAGTTCTTCCAAAAACAAGTTTCGCTGAACAATGAATAGAGGGCAGTGTAATAATAGGTGCATTGTAGACTGTGATCTAAAGCCACAATTACAACTTGGAATATCAATGTTTCTAAAATTATGTGTGAATAAATGCTGCCTAAAAATAAAGTCACATCGAGTCTTATTCAAAGTTGATTCAGTCTTCCTATCAAGATGCAATTTTGGAGTAGGTAGCTTTATTTTAGAATTTTGAATATGTTTCCTCAGGTTAAACTTAAAACAATTTCTAGATTGGATAGCTTTCAAGTCACCAGGCAGTTTCTCCCATGCTGTTATACAAGATATCACTGTACCCTTTCTGATCTTGGCCTTACAGTGAGCTGGTATTCTAAAAGATCTGACTCTGCGTAACCGATTTCCATTATTCATTACATTATGATTTCTATATAAAGAAAAGGCCTGGTTTACATAGGAAGGCATTTTGTTGTTATTTATGACGTCATAAATAAACAATAGTTTCTTTTCATCCCTCCTGGCCCCTAGGGACCTCCAACCTAAGCATGAGGTGACTTTGGTTGCATTTGTACCTTGGGTACATCCACTGACAATCAATGCTGCCCTATACTGAATACTATCCAATTTAGAAAGTAAATTTAAGTTTGCACAATCAAAAATGATATTCCCATATTCTAAGTGAGGTAGTATAAATGCCATATAAATCTTCTCTAGATGTTGTGATCTTAAGTTATGTTTTAGTGCCATAAGTGGGTTCAACATCCTGTTACATTTAACAATTATACTGTTAATGTGTTCTTCAAAGTTTAAAGCCTTGTCTAAAATAAGTCCAAGATGTTTGTGACTATTGGTGAAAGGGATAGAGTCACCATTTAACACAATAGGAATTTGAGCAATTGGAGTTCTAGTTTTGGACTGGAAAAACACTTCCTTACTTTTACTTGTCTTAAATTTTAATTTCCAAGTCTTTGACCAGATCTCTATTCTATTAACATCGCTTTGGAGTTTTAGATAAGTTTCATGAACTGAGTCCTCCTTTTTGACAGGTAGAAAAATTGAGCTATCATCAGCATAAAGGTACAGAGTGCTATTTAAAACTGCATCGGCTAGGTCATTGATATAAAGTAAGAAAAACAGTGGACCTAATATTGACCCTTGAGGAACCCCACAATTTATTACTCCTTTGTCAAACCCCCCTAAATCCCTTCCTCCTGTCCCTAGAATCCCTTCCATTGTCCCATCAATATTGTCATATAGAGTATCTGAATTTATTGAAGTTGTACCATTCACCCTAACTTTTAATTTTCTGTTATTAAGGTAGGACCCTATCAGATTAATAATGTTCTCACAGATACCGTATGATTTTAGCTTATGGAGAAGTAAGTAGTGGGGGACGCCGTCAAACGCACCCTCAATATCAAGAAAGATCCCTCTAGTAGAAATATTATGGTCAAAATTTGAAGTAATCATATTTACAATAGATACAAGTTGTTTCTGAGTGTCATGCCCAGGTAAAAACCCGGATTGGTTCTGATACAAAAGATTGTTAGATGCCACATGTTTGAATATTGAATCATATATGACGCGTTCAAAAATTTTGGAAATATTACTTAAAAGGCAAACTGGCCGATAGTTCCCTGGGTCAACTTTTGAGGATTTATTTTTGAAAATGGGGACAATAATGCCCTGCTTCCAACAATTAGGAAATTTGCCTTTAGTAAGAATGAGTTTAAAATATTCGGTAATGTTAAAAGATACAATGATAACTTATTAGATATTGTGCATATATGCATATTAGCATATTTTATGATCGGCATTTCGCATTTATTCAAAATATTTTGTTAATTAAGCTTGCAGTACAAGGGAATGTACTTGGTGGTGTCCTTAAATTCTTAGTAGTTATATTGGGTTGCCCAAATAACTTTGCGTGAAAACTATACACTCCCCTCCATAAGTTTGGCAACCTTTTTTCCCCATTGAACTACATGTTAAAGCCTCTTTACGTTTGAATTTTTATTTACTTAACCGGCGATGAAATAACTTATAATATTAATGGAAACGTAACTTGACTTTATTTCCAATTCCTCCAAATTTTCTCAATTTTTTTCCTCAATTATAATAGGTCGAAAATTGATGATAAATTTGATGAATTTTTGAAAATCGTCATTCCCATGTAATTCAATGGGAAATGGAGGGTTCGGGGCAAATCAGAAATCAGGATTATTTGGAAAAGTTATTGTGTCAAAATGAGAAAAGTAATAAGTAGCAGAGAACGGCTTTGGAATCGATCTCTGTGTAATAAATAATTATGATTCCGTTTCGATACATGTTATACATTTAGACTACCGGAAACAACATTCAGCAACATGGCGGGCGATAATGAAAATATAATTCAATTGATTATATTTCGTCAATTATCAAGCGTTTTACATGTCTAAGGTAAGATTTAATACTTTGATGTTGGAGCTAAATAATTATGCGATAATTTGTGTGACTTTGGTTAGCATGGTAACTATGGTTACTAAGACAGGCCAGAAAAGCGTTTACCGCAATATATAAGCGCTAGTGTGTATGACCCTCGTATGCAAGAAAATAAGAAAAAATAAATATCCAAATCAGAAAAATAACAACAAATAACATCATACGAGGGTCAGATTTATATGACTAGGGTCTCAAAAAAGGTTGCCAAACTTATGGAGGGGAGTGTATATGCAAACTAGGGCTGTTATTGTTGAAATATCGAATTTCTAACATACCTTAAAAGTAAAAATTAAAGCCCTGGGACCCATGTTTTCAGTGTCAATGAATAAGATATTGTTAAAATATGCAAGAATACCAAGAATAACAATTTTAGCATATTTATTGATATCAACGTTTTGTATGATGAAATATATAAAAATAATATAACAAGAAACAGATCCCTGACTAACACCATGATTAATAATGAAAGATGGTTGAATGAGAAACTATGTCGGTGTTCTGCCATATAACTATTATACCATGTTACCGCTATTCCAAAGTTGATTTCATAGTTTGAAAGTTTATCAAGCAAAATATTATGATCAATTGAGTCAAAGGCTTTCAAAATAACGCTTTTAGATAATGGCCACCTTCATTTGCATATACAATTTTTTCCGCAGGGTTGCCTTTTGTCCAACCTAGCTGAATCACTTCGTAAAACATCATGATAGTGATAAAGCAAGAAAACATCGTGTTTTTACAAATTCAAAGGTTCAGAAAATGACACATCGACTGTAAATATAAATGGTTGATATTAGTCATTTTTTCGTGGTTAAGATTGTTTAATTTCACTATCTTGTCACTTTCATTACGTCTTTGCTGGATCACGATAGAAATTCAACATAAGCTTAGACAAAATAATTATGCTGCTATCATTCTTACTTTTCAAGACATCGAAAACAATCAAAATTTCAATATAGCCCTCGCTAATTAGCCTATATTATTTTTTCTCCAAACTGACTTTTTGTCCAACCCAGCTAAATCTCTTCAGGAAACCCTTATCATCAAAGATTAACCAAAAAACATCGTGTTTTTTACAATACATAGGTTCACTATAGGATGCATAGGTTGACAAATTGACTAATAACAGCGTGGTTAAGATTGTTTAATTTCACTATCTTGTCACTCTCATTACGTCTTTGCTGGATCACGGTAGAAATTCAACATTTCGCCCCAAGTCACTGCCCTCAATAAGCAACCCCCCCCCCCCCATTACATTAGCCACACCACGGTCCTGAAATGTATCATTCAATCAGTTCTTAATGGTGAAATATACTGGTAATTTTTATCATAAATTGTTGCATACGATTTCGATGCCTTTTACGTTAATATTAAACTCATTTTACAAAGCGCGTTACCTATACGTATCCGTAACAATCATACGGATAGGGATAGGTTTACGTAATTTTTTACGCTAATTAAACTTCACGTCTAAAATCACGTTCTTACTGTTATGCGGTAAACGCCATACAAATATTTGTCATATTCCGCAATTGAATCTGACAGATTCACTGTAAATATATGGCATATTCCGCTTAACACTTACCGTACACAGACACACATACTCCCACAGTATATTTGACACCTTACATTTAATTGAAAAGTGTAAGAAATAATAAGGACTACCTCCCTCGACCCGATAATTGATTTAAAAGATATACATCGTTTCCTGAACCTTTCGATATACAGTACCAGTTATGGAAATAGTCGCAGAAGGAAACACTGTCCGCGAATACAGGAATAGTAAATAAATAAAAAAAATTGTGGATCAATATGCTGAAATTGTAATCACTCAAATCTGTATTTTCAGATGCATTTGCGATGGTTACACATCTGGTACATGCCGGAGAGTTCGTTCAAAGTGCCCTTTAACTTCTTATGCGTGGCAATGTCAGTGCTCCCTTCCTCGTAGATATAATCCCAAACCTAGATGGTGTGGATTCTAATCGAGAGCACAAAATTGATGAAAAATGACGACCACAGAAACAACAACGGACACACAAAAGATATTTGAATGCATAAGGTTTATATACTGGAAGGTTTAAGATGGAGGGTTTATATATTCAAGAAGTACAGGGTGGTCAAAAAAACGGCAACCCTAATTTTTCCTCATATCTTTCTCATTTTTGGAAATTTTGCCCTGATATTTTGCACACATGTACATCATTCAATTTCATACTAGACTGTATTATTTAGTATTTCATGAACATTGCACTGATAGTCACAATGTTAGCACTTTAAACAAGGTGCCCCAGTTTTCCAATATCGTGCTGTAGGCAAACCTGCACATGTTTTCCAAACCTGTTAATGACATAACAGCATTTCTCAGCAAGTATGGCCTGAATGACACATGTGATCTTTATTTTGAGGTCAAATGTCTTTCTGGTGTTATTACCCTACACTCTATCTTTGGGGTATCCCCACTGGTAAAGATTAAATGGGGCCATATCTGGGCTATGGGGTGCCCATTCATTGTCTGTTGTATTGTTGATAATGTGGTCATTGAAGTGGTCCCAAAGCCAATATTGTGCATCATTTGGTGTATGGGGTATGGTTCTGTCTTGTTGGAACCACTGTTGCTGCCTTTCAACCCCCCTGGGTTCACCTAAAGTCCCATAGAACTCCATGGGAATCACAAAATAGAGTTTGATGTTAACAGTTATTGCATATCTGTTAGCATCATCAAAGGTAAAGGACCCTATCTTCTGAGAACACACTAAACTGTGCATCTGTCTGTGTGAAGGTGCCTCTCCACTACTTCTTAAAGTGCTTGGCTCCCCAAGAATACATAATTGTTACAGTTTACCAGTGCATCAAGTTGGAAATGGAGTTCATTTGGATAACAGACCAGCTCAGACAGCCCGAAAGTGGCCATCTGGGGTATGTTGCTTAAAATGCAGTAATATTGTGACTATCAGTCCGATGGTCATGAAATATGGGAGGTTGGTAGGAAATTGAATGATGTACAAATGTGTAAAATATCAGGGAGTTATTCCTTAGAATGACAAAGATATTAGGAAAAACTAGGGTTGCCGTTTTTTTACCACCCTGTATATGTATCCCTCGATATACACGGAGAGATACGCTCATTTCCCCTTTAGCAGGCTGAATTTTGAGAAAATGCCACCAGAATATTCCATTTCGTGATAAAAGTCTGAATTTTGGTACACATTTCTTCAAACAATATTATCTGACCGCAAGCGAAATATTTTCCAAAAAAATATGATTGGCGCAATTGCAGCTTTCAAAACGTCGACAATTATTCATAACATGTCTAGATAGTAGTGTTATACTTCAGTTAAATCTTACTTTTGATTGAAATTCGTATAACTGTATTCTAGGACAATAAACTAAAGAAATTATCACCCTGGTATTTTCGCTTATTCGGTATTCCTAACTTCATGTACCATCCTGCCTTTTTATGGTAGTTTAAAGAGTTAATAAAACACATTTTGCTTTTTTACACACTATCACGATTTGAAATGTTTTTCCACTGATTAGGACAACCCTGTATCTAAAACCGACCTTACATAACAGATGTATTCCATACATTATAAGGTTCCGTAATTTTTAAAGAAAGAGTGCGGACTTAATGAACAATAATATATTCCTGCCTGTTATTAATGCCTTGGTCACATTTGTTCCTATTTTCGATACCGCGCCCGCCCGATTGAGTATTTTGTTCAAAATTGAATACAATATTGAACAAAACACTCAATCGGCCGGGCGCCGACCGATGAATCGGAACATATGTGACCAAGGCATTACATAGAACGTAAGTGATTTTGGGATACATCTTAATTAATATACGAGTTTATACAATTTTAAGAGCGAGTTTTTTTATCTGAATTATGAACTGCTTTGAAATTCTGTCAATATTTCAATTACTAAAACCTAATGATGATGACTATAATTGATTTCACTGAATTCTAAAATTTCCGTTCGTTACATACGTTATAAAATATATAGAATGCATATTGTATTACAAATGCGTTTTGATTGGCTTGAATTGATATATCATGCATGCCTAGCTATTGTAAATGCATGTGCTTTATGGACTACGACGTCTGGTTCTCGAGCGAAGAGGTTGAACCTTTGAGACCCTAGTCATATAAATCTGACCCTCGTATGATGTTATTTGTTGTTATTTTTCTGATTTGGAAATTTATTTTTTCTTATTTTCTTGCATACGAGGGTCATACACACTAGCGCTTATATATTGCGGGAATTGCTTTCCTGGCATGTCTACCCAACCAAATTCACACAAATGATAAATTAATTTCTTTGCTTCAACTATAAAGTATTTAATCTTACCTAAGGCACGTAAAACGCTTGGTAATTGAAGAAATATAAGCACGCTGCCAAATTTTAAAATTTGTTCCATATAATATCTACGACCGTGTATGCAAAGAAAATGATAAAAAATAAATATCCAAATAAGAACAAGGAATATCGAAGAACAGCATACAACGGTCGGATTTATATGACTATTGAGACCCATATGGAATTTGAGACTCGATTTTGTCTGTTCGCCTTTATCAAACAGATTATACCATCTTGTATGGGTATCAGTATCCGAAACAATATTTGTGTTTGAGCAAACGAGGCGCATATTAATGACGCTATTCCTCTAAGTTTTGGATTGTCCATTAGACAGGGGGACGTGTCAGGAATATGAACACAATAGTAGAAGATTATAAAAGTCAGCTACGAACAAATCTTATTGAATAGTAATTCCATGAACATGGTCCAATCTTGAAATTTTTTAACTTTTGTAAGTGAACAAATTGAATATATTATGAGATTATAAGCAAATACGACCGAGTCTGACATTTCACCTGTATTGCCCCAACCATTTTTCACTCAGAGTCTATCAATCTCACTTGAACAATCTTCCTAGCTCAGTAATGTAAAATAAAACAGTAGAGGGTGTCCCTAAATGTACCGAGATAAACACGATAGAATTCTGTGAGTGATGTAGGAATAATGTTGAAGCTAGGTCATCTGACAGAACATTGAATGATCATAAACATATTTTGTATCATGTACCATCACCTATTTCTTCTTCTTTGGAATTGCATTCAGCTTTTCATCACCATGATAAGTCAGTAAGAGCACTTCATCTAAAGTGTCATTTCTAAAAAGTGATTCACTCATTTCTGTAAATTATTGTCAATACAAAAATACATAATGTGAAATAAAGACAGAATCTATTTTTACCTCAAGTGACTTCAGCATCTCTTTGTTACATTCAGTAAATGTCATCTGGGGTACGGAAGTAATAAACAATGGAATGTGTTCCTTCAATACTTAAGAGGATATTTTGGAAATGTTTCATCATAAATAAATGTCAAAAAATCATCAATTAAATCAAAATATGTTACCATCAATAAATGTCCCAAAATCATAAATCCAACAACCCACAAAAGGGTGGGGCATAAATACATCTCCCAAATAATCAACCAAACCTTTCACCAGAGGCGTGGGGCATGACTGAATTTTTCCAAATTATCAACCCAACCTCCCACCAAAGGCACAGGCCATAGATATATTTCACTTAAGCATGAACCAAACCTCCCACCAAAGGCACAGGCCATAGATATATTTCACTTAAGCATGAACCAAACCTCCCACCAAAGGCGCAGGCCATAAATAAATTTCCCCAAATCATCGACCAAGCCTTCCACTAATGGCGCAGGCCATAAATAAATTTCCCTAAATCATCAACCAAGCCTGCCACCAAAGGTGCGGGCCATGAAAAAAAATCCCAAAATCATTAACCGAGCCTTCCACTAAAGGCGCGGGGCATAAAAACACTTCTCAAAATCAATCAACAACCCAACCTTCCACCAAAGGCTCGAGCCATTAATGAATTTCACTAAAACATCTAGAGGGTGGTCAAAAACGGAAACCCTGCATTTTCCTTATATCTTTGTCCCTTTAGAAAATTACTCCCTGATTTATACACGTTTGTACATCATTCAATTTCCTACCATCATACCATATTTCATCACCATCAGACTGATAGTCACAATTTTACAGCACTTTGAATAACATGCACTATGTAAAATCCCATGATTAATACAGAATCATAAACCTATTAAACATACATATCAGTTGTTTTAATTCGTTTTAACCTGTTATCATAGGTTTATGTATAAGACATAATTATAACAATGAATTATACGGACTTTTTTGGAGTTTCTCCTCTGATACTTGTATAATTTGTTTTAATTTGTTATCAGCTGTTATATTCCATCTGGTTCAACTGGGAAAAACATATTATACTGGATGATACATTTCTCTGCTCTTGCGTATAATTTGTTTACATTAGGTTACATGTTGTTGACACAACGTGTTGACACTATCTTGTTGACATAGACATATTGATTGTTTTAATAAAAGCGGGTATTGATAAATTAAGTTTTGACATTTGAAAGTTGTAATGAATTAATATAAATGATTTTTCAAAATAAGTCACCAGAAGTGATTAGTGCAGCAGTTGAAAGATATATTTTAGTTTTAGCATTTATAACGTGCTTGCAAAAACACGGGCGCCCATTTAGATTATTAGCGGTTTTATTATAATATTTGATTGCTTCAATGCGCTCCATGAAAGAAAAATGTGGGCACTTTATTAATTGAAATCAATATGTCTTAATATCAAAGCTACATTGTTAACGGAGACAACGTAAGAGTGCGACATTTTAACCTATTTCAAAATTCGTTTTTTTTTATTTTCCATAACGGCTACTAGTATTTGTGTGCCATAGTTATCTCGGGTTATCTCGGGCTTTCGGGCATCACGGTTATCGTGATTTAAGGGCAGTTATAAAAATATACAAGGCGATGGTTCAAAATGGACAATTTTCAAAACTGCTTAACTTCATGTTTTTAAAGAATGCTTGCCCGGCGAGGGGTTTGCTATTGCGAGAGAACAAAAACTTTGAATTAGGATTTTTCCTAATACTTAATCATTAATACTTAATACTTAATCATTAATCAACAACTTTTTAAACCGTCTCTCTGATTAAACATCATGCCAATTAATACCATTATTGTGTTGACAGGATTAAATGCGATATCTATGGAATAATAATTTAATGAACTCAATAGTCTAAATGATAAATAAGTTCATAATTTAGTCCCCGGGATTTAGTCTTGGCTGACTAGTCTTGTATCATCAGAGTTGGATTACAAATACCTCCCTAAATCAAATATTTATAATTGTTTTTATGTCTCTGATCCAACCACTAAAGTTTAAAAGGAAGACTATAGTGTCCCGTGAATTCATTATAATTATCTTAGACAATAGTGAAGCGGTACAATCGTGGGAGTGTTAATTAATCGGAATGCAAGTTTGATACATACAAAATAACTCCTTTGGATCAAATATTTAAATTTTACTAGAGTGCGGGGAGTGGAAACGAGTCTCCATTCAAGCACTAAATATCAAAAGAAAGATTTCAGTACCCCTTAACTTCGCTCCCGGACTTCACTATTCACCACCTCCCCTCCCCCTTCCCCAATTATCTTTTATGACCCCAGATTGTTCGTTTCTGTGCCCCCCCTGTCCATGGCAAGTAAGTAATCTATGTGTATATCGGCTCCCTCCCAATGGTGGGCAAAACCAGATGCAGGCATAGACATTGACAAGGTGAGGGGATTAAAAATAAAAATAGTTTTGTTTAAGGATCTGACTGAAATATTTTGGCACTGTTCAACGAAGCGGTTTAAGGAATTAGAGGCAGAAATAATTCCTAGATGACCTGTCTTTACTGTAATCAAGATGCTACCTAACCGCAGTTTTAAAAGTTATTTATCTTTTGTGATAATCTAATACTACTTATAGATTGGTTTTCCAAATGTAAGACCCCGTATAAGACCCTTGTCTCTGATTGTGAAACATGTGTATGCATCAAATCCGAGGAATATTACATTATGTGAAACAATTCCAAAATGTTTTGTCTTCAACTCAATGAAATAGCAATATATTTCAACATGTGGAAATTGTTTATTAACGTAATGTCGGGCACTACATAGGTGAACGGGTTTTCAGTTTTGCTCTTTTTTGTCACACTTAAATTGTGTGCTTTATTTATTTGGAATTTGAATTTGAAAGGGTGAATTCACATCCAATAAAGCTTATAGTATCATTTATTAACAGATGCATCGAGGTAGAGCCACCGTTCAAAAGACATAAACATAACTCTGTCGAGTGCAATAAATCCATGCATATCCATTCGTAGCAATCATACCGCCAGACCAGGGGAACACAGTTACCCTTCGCATTCTTACATTGTCCGCATGTCAACCATACGGCGACTGCACGGTCAGCCTGCCTTTCGCACCTCTCATACACGTGAACAAATTCTAAGATCATATTAATTACCATTGATTCCTCGTTTTCAATCCCTGGTTTTCAAAGCCCGTTAGATGTTAATGAATGGAGATTTTTAAATGTGCTTTCATTAAACAGCCAGGAAAAATAAACTATTTTTAATTTCCCAGGAATCACATAATCCGTCAAAATTCATTTAATTTAAAATGCATCTAATATATTACATGTATACAATCAGACAGACTGGCTATTCTAATCCGTTATGAAAAGCCATTTGTTTTTTCCTCTACAGGATGTTTCTGCGGAAGTTAATTTGTTTATCTTAGTGTTTAGAGGCAATGTCCTTTGATGCTTTCGTGAAATAAATGAACTCTGTGATGGACTACAATTGTATATTTTCTACAGGAACAGTTACCCGAAGTAGACACTGTTACATTATTTTCATTTTAGGTCTCTCTAATTAGTTGCATTGCAGAAGTCTAATATTATTCTCTCCTGTGCCGAAGGTACATGTACTTATACCCGTAGCCAAGGGGGGGGGGTGTTCAAGGAGTCCAGCTCAACAGAATTCGAATTGAATACAAAATAAATTCATAACATATAAATATATAAATACATAATGTCTATCCAAGTCTTCTTGCATTTTCTGAACTTCAAATGCGCCTTTTGATGTGTGATAACAAAATACTAAATAAATACTTAATGTTACTCCAGCTTGTTTTTATAGTAATTTGGCAATTAAACATGCATAAAGAGATAGCAATGTGTGTACTGTGTACAACCCGAATCCTCTCCTGATCAGGTCACGTTTTATATGTCTCTGATGTAATAACTGCCCTGTCAACCCTCACGCATTAGGCGTGATTGTTACGCATTTGCTGGAAAAATAGAAATCACGCATCAATTTAGCGTGTATGATCAAATATCACGCAAATCACGGATTTTGTTGAAATTTTTTAAAATCGTTTTTTGTGAAATGCCGACACGGTAAAATACCACACGGCAAATAAAAGTGAACGCATTCCGTTCGGTCTTTGCACGCGATTGCCGTTTATGTCACACATTTGGTACAAAATATGTGTACTAGTATATATCACGCATTTGTTTCGAAAATATTCACACCTACCTAATTGATTGAAATCATT